CCTGAATATTAAGCTCATTAACCATTTTTAAGAATGTATCAGGTATTGTACTTCTAATTCTTTTTCTATTCTTTCCACATTTATAATCTAGGCATCTATCCATAATTGCATTGTAGTCTCCCATTATACATATGTTGTCGTATTCCAATTGGATAATAATATTATGTAGTTTTTTATAAAATTGTTTCTGCCCCTCATTCGGAGCATAGATTCCCACTAGAAGGATTTTCATTTTATTCAAAATTATTTCCACAATTAAAATTCTGCCCTCTTCATCTTTATAAATTTGCTTTGCCGAGATTTCTTGCTTAATATATACTACCACTCCTCCTTTCTTGTATTGTGATAGTGCCGCAAACATATTCCCCAATTTAGGGCAGTTCAATAGATATTGATATTGGTTTTTTTTATATGGACTTCTTGCAACATAATTATATCTAAGTTCATCTTATACAATTTATTCAAAAACTTTTTCCTTTTTATTGGAGAGTTGAGACCATTAACATTGATGGATATGGATTCAACACCTTTTTTCCCCTCCTTATCTATGTTTAGATCTAGTTCTTATTGGCGGCCTAGACTCTTGAGGTTGTAAATCTTTTTCTTTTTCCTCCATCAATCTTGTCGGTCTGGCCTCTTTAATTTCTTTAGGTCTATCCTCATCATGTTTCCCTTCGTTTTTGCCATTGTCCATATCCTCTCTAGTATCAACCCGCTTTCTTTCCACAGCCTGAACTGATGTTTCCCTTTCCTGTCTCACCTCTCAGTTAGATCTTCCTCACTACCAAAATTCTCCCTATAAAACTCCTCTGCCTTCTCCACTGAGTCTAGACGGAACTTTTCTCCTGCCATGTGACAAGAATCCCTTCTGTTGTCAGCCATCTAAAATTGACATCCTTTGGCAGGAGGGTTCTCCAACAAGTGGTGCCTCGCGACACTCTTCCAAACTTTCCCGATTCCCCCCCCCCCGTAGGGACAGTGGGCTTTGGTATGTCCCATTAGTGGATTATCCATCTCCAGTGCTGGAGAAGGGGTGTTGTCTTACCTGAACGCCGTTTCTCAGCACGGAGATGGATAATCCACACCCACCCAAATAGGTCCTTAGGCCTAGGGTCTAGTTCTGTGAGCCAATACATCATGCTGTCAGTCAATGCTGCGTCCTCGTTGAAAACTGGGAAGAAACAGGTCCAGGACAGGCGTGGCAAGTTTAGCTGACTTGATCTGATTGGGCAGGAGGATTAAGTTAACCCATTAGTGGATTATCCATCTCCGTGCTGAGAAACGGCGTTCAGGTAAGACAATGGCCCTTCTCTAATTTCAACTGCATTCCATAAATCTAGAAATTTTCCCATTATTTGAGTCACATTATTAACCAGGGAAAAAGCCAAAAGTTCACTTCCTCACAGAGGTTTTGTCCTGTGACGCCTAGAGGCAGTTCTACCACCGCTGCCACTCCTCTACCGAGTAAAATCCAAAATGAAGAATGCAAACCTACAAACCAAACCAGCCAAACTGTCGCCAAGCAAGGGAAAAGTTTTCTTTGCCAGGGCACTTAGCAGCTAGGTGATCAGGGCCTCTGCAGTACAGACACAGCCAGTGCATTTTCTACCAGAAAAAACTTTTAGAATGACTCTGTCAGCCAGTGCATTGCAAATAAAATGGGAAGGGTACAAAAAAGTACAGTAAGTTGTGTAGGGTAACCCTAATGGTCTTTATAGCAGGTTAGCAAATATAGAAAATGGTCACTTCCCCCTTAACTAGGATGTTGGTGATTGCTGGTAATGTGTAAGGGCCAGAATTTATCACAGGAAAATGATTAAATGTCACAATATCCATGAAACAAAACAGTTTAATTTTGTATCTCATAAGTTTTTATAAAGGCAATCCCCAAACTTTAAATTTTATTACATATAGCTGTACCCGGCCACACGTTGCTGTGGCTCAGTCTGGTTAGCGTGTGTTGCTTTTACGTCCAACAGATGGCGCTCTTTTTTCAAAAAAAGCATGTTTTTACCTGTCACAAGTGTGACATCTATATAATAGTAGGTATATAGAAACACGTGCGTATTTGAATGCAACGTTGTGTCAAAATTTCAAAGCAATCGGTGAAGAACTTTCGGAGATTTAAGATTTTGAACAAATGAACATTTACATTTTTATTTATATAGATAGCACCTTACACAGACACAGACTCACTACTAACATTTTTAGTTCTCACTTTATTATTACCATTCCCATTATTCCTTGCAAAGATCCTCAGCCAAAGTATAACCAAAACATATATGGAAGACTTATATATATATTTGAAGAATGACGTTGTAAAGATTAAAAATAAACATACTACACATGAAAACAAAAGAGCAGAGGAGAGTTAGTGTGAAATATTTTTTACATTTGTTTTAAGAATATACACATAACATTGACAAAATAAAACAAAAGCCAAATAACAAAAAATACTGAGAAAATGGATATTGCTAATCAGTAATGCTCAAAAAATATGTTCATTAAAGATGACCTATGTCAATTTTTAGAAATGTTAACTAGTAAAGCAACTCTATGCTTTTAACTATTTCTTACTAGCATAAATACCAATTCTTGCTAACATGCTTCAACTTCCTTTCCATCTTATTTGGATTTTTACTTAAAGGATACTAACTTTGAACTCTTTTTAACTACTCCAAAAATGCTTGATAATGCAGAGATACTAGAAATTGCTCCCCATATCAACGCTATGGCAACTATTCCATTCATGCACATTTCTCTTTTTTAGTTGGTGGGTTGTGGAAGAATCTTCCTGTCTATGCTTAGTGATTATCATAATTGGTACTTCACAACAAAGTGGTATCCTACATTAATGTTTCCACTGCCCATTTAATTTTGATCATAATATATATAAACCAAAACTACTTCTCATCTCCATCCTTCCCCCAGCCATGTAAAAAGCTAGAAGGATCCTGTGCATCAATATTAACATTTTAATTACCCTTGAGGTATAATGTATCAACACTCGTGAATTCTATAGGAAGACTGAAGGTATCTTAAATTCTGTTACATGCAGCAGCTTCCTTTGGTAACCCAAAATACAATACAAGGTATTTCAAAGGATTTGCTGCTAGCATCCTGGAATTTTATGGCGTTAAACAGCATCACAAATAAGACACCAGCTAATCCTCCCAACCTGGCTTTGCCCTCAGTGCCAGAATGGCCTAAACTTCACAGAGGACTGGTATTATTGCTTCTCCCAAACTGTTACAAAATGTCTTAAGGATCGAGATTTCTGTCCTTTACAATTTCTGTCCTGACCAAGATTTCTATTATATATTTAATTGCGCTTATTTTAGCCCTCAGCAATTGTGTAAGTCTTTATTGTACAGTAAAGACAAAAATTTGGCATATATTAGTCATTGGCACAAGGTTTGGACAATCAGAAAACAGTTGTGTATAAATAAATTATATTCCTCATTAGGCTCTGGACATCATTTCACCCAGTTTGTACTATTAGTTTGTCTGCACAAACCCCATCCTTGCCTTTCAGGCATTGTAAGGAAAGTTGCTTCAACCGATTGTCTAGAACTGGGCCACTGGAAGAAGAGCTGCTGTCTACACTCTTATTCTTGTTCACTTTGTCAAGTATCTTGTTCTCCGCTCCTTCTGCCCTGTCTCCTGTGAAAATGAGATGGAAAGATTTTGCAGCTTTGTATTATAAAGGGTAAAATTCCACAATATAATCATAACTTGGGTCGGATTCATACTCCGCTTACAAAGTATGTGTGCTTCTGAATCCAGTCCAAAAAGATCTTTAATTAATCACCAAACTTGGAAAGTCCTATCAATCTTGATTCCACTGCATTTGATGGTTACCAAAACTAGGGCTTTTTTTTGTCATAGAATGCCTAGAACGGAGTTCCGGCATCTTTTTTGGATCCAGATCATTTTGTTCCCTTTTCTAGCTTTCTCTACATCTACAGTATCCTTTTGAAATACGGCAACAAAATAGCATATACTGTTACCAAAGTTACATATCTCACACCTGCATTGTTTGTCCTTAGCCATTGTCTTATCTCTGTATTACATTGATCTTTGCCTTCATCAATCCAACTTACCTCTTTCAATTTCACATTCAGGAGAGGATGCCCCACTACATTCACTGCGAGGTCCTAATAGGGGAAATATACCAAATTCAGATAATGATATAGGGCTAGACAAATCCAAGCTTTTAGGGCGAGTCATAGGAAGAAATTGAGCTGGTATATCAAAAGGGCTTGTGGGACCAGAACTGAAACTAGATAGAGACTGAGTTTCAGAGTCTTCTTCGGACACAAAGCTGCTGCAGTTGTCATCTTCAAATACCTCTGATGCCACTGTGAAAATGTAAAAAAACAATCAGCATTAATGAATAGAATAAACATGCTTATAAGCCATCTCAATCACAACTAACAGAGTAATACAATTCTCCCTAACGTTGAACAAAACAAAACAAAATTCAGCATTATTTTCCCCTGTTTAGGACTTCTGTTCCTCCATTCCCAAACCCCTGCAACCAACTATTGTTTATTCTCAGCAATATATTAAAGAGTACTATCACCTCTTGCCAAAAGGAAAAAGGTAAAGTCTATTCTGACAGAAGCTCTATTCTAGGTCAGGGCTTTTCAACCAGTGGTACAGGTACCACCTGTGGTACGTTGGCACCTGGCAGGTGGTACGCGACCATCCTAGAAAAGTAGCAGGGGAGGGGAATGAGCTGAACCGGTGGCAGCACCACACAAGCCTGAGCGAGAGACGGCTGGAGCTGCAGGGCTGTCAGGGCTCAAAGGAAGCGCCAGGATCACTGCTGCTTTCCAGCTGAATGGTGCTTCTTCGGGGCTGTCAGGGCTCAGTGGAAGTGCCAGGATCAGTGCCAGGCTCCAGCTGGAGCTCGGCGCTGATCCTGGTGCTTCCGCTGAGCCCTGAAGAAGTGCCGATCAGCTGGAATGTTGCAGCATCTCCAGGGTCTTGTGATTTACATTCAGATGCTTGGCAACTGATTCATATTTATGACAGTCACAGTGTCCCAGGGTCATATGAAATGACCAAAACCTGCTGCAACCACCCAGCAGACGGGGGGGGGGGATTAAACCAAACACACCCCACCCCACCCCCACTGCCAATCCTCAACAGAAATGCTCACAACAATGGAAACCTCGGACAGGAGGAAGAACGCCGCCGAGCAGCAGGCAGATGTCTTGCTCAGCTGTGGCTTGGGGGGCACTTTTTTCAGTACCATTGTAACTTCGAACAGTCACTAAGCGAACTGTTGTAAGACGAGGACTACCTGTACTTTATCACTTTTTTCCTTTTTTTTGGTCAATTTTTTGACACCTTGCTAGGCGACTGGTGGTACTCGGATGTTGCCATGTCCTAAAAGTGGTACAATGGGTGAAAAGGTTGAAAAGCTCTGTTCTAGGTAACTTCATGGATACTTCTAGGTGGTAATATTAAAATGGTGTATGATTCCTCTCCTCAACCAATCACCACAGGCCATTAGAAAAAAGTGAACTGTCATAAAAATAAGTCAGCTGCATCCACACTCATGCTTACAGGTATGTCATCATTTTCCAAAGGAAAGGTTCAGCTAGAGAATGATAAATACAAAAAACCTGCCCTTCGTCCATTTTCAAAATATTAGCCGTGTCCAGTGTCCTAAGCCTGGCAGTCAGCAGAATTAGCCTGCAATAATGCATTCTAATCACTGAGCCACCACTGCTCCTATGAAACCAACTCTCTAATTTTCATAGATGGATAGTTGTACTAAATAGTTTTAATACCTATTTTAAACCATTTTGTATGTTTTAAAAAAACTTTTTAACAAAGTCAAAATTGAAAATAGATTTGGCAAAATTTTACTATTATTACAACAAAGCTGAGAATGTTGCTTGTCCTATTTTTCATGGTACAATCATATATCCCGGGATTTCCAGATTCCTGATTTATCCTATTTCTACTAAATACGAGAAATGTTCATGAGGAACCCCCCCAAAGGATTTTTAATCAGATTCAAAACATGAGAAGCCACAGACAGTTGCATAACAGAAAAAGTAAAAACAGCACTCTCACAACAATCGATTTCAATCACACCTCAAAAAGAAATTCTAAAGTATCATGGCAATGGAAAAAATTGTTTGGAAAATTGAAAAGTACTTTGGCACTCTATTAATTATACTGTTATAATTGGCTCCTTGACACCTGGTACTTTTTGACCAGTTCTTAGTTGCTGATATAACCTTTCAAAAAAATTGACATGGCCAAAACTCTATACTTTTTTCTACTACTTACTGGAAACATTATCTGATTCTAACTTGCATCCTGAAAAGTCTTCTGCCAAAGTACTATTGCCTTCAGCCCCAACACCACATCCTCTGGGCCCCATTGACGAAGCTCGCCGCCTCTCATGAATCTCGTCAGAGATCATCTCCAAGTTCTTCAAGGCTGTTTTGTATTCACCCTTGGCCAAAGCCAATTTTGCTTGCAGGTCATCCACTATCTTCTTTAATTGCTAATAAAACAGTCAAAAAATTTACTTACTCAAAGAAAAACTTCTAAATATCCATATACAATAAATTGCATAGGTTTCAAGTGAAGAAAGACTTGCATTAGGGCACTAGGGACCCTCTAAAACACCTCCCAACTTTCCCATAAAGCTGTTCACCAAAATAATAAAGCTGACACGATCAGCAGATTTACAGAGAACTGAACTCTTTTTATTTATTACACAAATGTCTGATCATTCAATCTAGCAGGTAGAATGAAGTATTCTAACTTTAAAATAACTCCATCCAATTTTAAGATCCTCCCGCCATGTTGGACTTTGATTTCTTTAATTCATCAAGCATGACAATCCAATATCTTGTGGGATGATTGATTATGGGAGTCCAACACTAAGGAGGATACTAGTTAAAGAAATTATCCTGAAAATGTTCTTTCTAGTTCTGGTGCTAGCTTCATTGAAGACTTGATTGAAAGCTTATAGCTCAAACATACTATATATATATATAGTTTTGTGGATTATTATAGCAGGTAGAGATGCTTTTCATCCTGGGTATATATTTCTAATATTAGCATATAAAAGTCAATTATGCATAAGTTCACATATGTGCAGATTAACTATTTTTTAGGAAGAACATCTCCATACTAAAAGGTTACTATCCATTACCCACAGCAGAATTTCCACCTCACTGAAATATATTGTCTACATTCCCCACACCACAAGACAAATAATAGCAAATGTTCCTGGAGGGGTGGGGGAACGGAAGAAACTAAATTGTCTCCTTCTCTATAGAGTCAACTGTCCTATGAGAAGACTTAATATATTTCTTGATTTATTGTTTTAATACATTATAATTAAATTTTTAAAAATCTGGTTCCTATAAAGATAGTATAAAATTAATTAGAACTAAATAAATATGCTAAATGCTACGCATTCTTCCTCAAATTCCAAAAGACAATACCCCCCATTTATACAGAAAATTTCACATCTATAAAAGTTTCATCATTCTTAAAATGAAACAACCACTACAACAGCAACAAATGTGAATGAGGGGTTTTTTTCTGTTGCTTTTTGGGGAGTCAGATGGCTTTAAATAAGAAAAATCAATAACTCACATTGATGATAATACCTAGTTGGCTAATGAAATATCTGCAAACAAACAACCAAGCACAGAGAGAATCAAGGACTCCATAACTCAATCCAGAATTACATATATTTATCTTCTACATAAAATAAATAAAAAGTACATACCTCTAATTGTACATAATATTTTGCTTTGAGTTCAAAATAAGGCCTATAAGGATGGGAACATAATAGCATTATTATTGGTAGAAGAACAATGCACTCCCTTTTAATTCCCATCCATTCAGCCATCTACCATCCTGTTGATATAAAACAATCTAGCCATCCTATCACTTCAATATTGGAATTTGTTTATACAAAACATACCGTAATACTATGCTAGTTAATTTGTGTGACACTTCTACCCACCTAAAAAATAATAATTTCATTGGGCTTGGGGTTGAGAAATAGATAAATATACCTAAATTTAATCTATATACAACAGCACACAGATTCTCAAATTGCCTAATAGAATATTGAGAGTTAAGAACAATGATATTGAAGATATACAAGATACTCCACTGTCAAGGCACAGAGGAGTAAAACACCAAGTTCAGAACATCCAGATAACATTCAGAAGTGATTCAAATAGACAATGTATTGAACTGCACGAAGGAGGAAGAAGTAAAACACAGTAAGATTTACAAGATTCTGTTATTATAGCCAGTCTTAATAAAATTAGCTCTAGTCTTCCTGTGGAGTTGTCTTTTTGATCTAATCTACCCAGTGGGTCTGACAGCAAGGAGTAAATCCTGGAGAACGTTGGAAAATTTCTATGTGTACAAGTGAGATCAAGTTCAAATGAAACCTGATCCACCTTGCCCAGTTGCTCGGGATCTCCCAGAAGCTTCTGATCCAGAATCTGAAAGCCCTTTGGATTAAATCATTCTGTTGTTACAGTATAGCAGAGACTGGAAAATGGTATCTAACATAGTGCTCTATCGTAATAGAAAAACTACTAAAATAGTGTTATAGTTTCATTTACCAGCCTTGAGCCATAATCTTGCTGCTAATATAATTTGACTAAGACAGGGGTAGGCAACCTTGGCTCTTTTATGACTTGTGGACTTCAACTCCCAGAATTCCTGAGCCAGCATGGCTCAGCTTGGAAACCTCTCCTTTTCCCCTCAGCACGGCTGGCTCAGGAATTCTGGGAGTTGAAGTCCATGGGTCATAAAAGAGCCAAGGTTGCCTACCCCTGGACTAAGAGATGATTTTAAACCATCCTGAAAGGCATTCGAAGCACAAGATAGTAGTAGCTCAAATTGATAAATGAAGCACCAAATATGAAGGCCAGGCAGGATTCATCAAACAGGTCTTTTTTACAATGGTTAAGCTATAATGTAGTTTTCCTGTGATTTTTCAGGCAAGTCTTACTTTTTACAACCATGGTTAAACCACAGCTTAAGGCTCACTGACTAAGACCATTGGTCAGAGAACTCATAACTATTAATTCAGATTGATAGAAGATTTTATGAAGAACTCTTCAAGCAAGACTTTTTAAATCCCTAATCTGGCAATATCACAGCTAAATGATTTGTACTGAATCACACATTATATACTGCTGAGCTATGATCCCATAATATTTATTTCCTGTTTGTGACGCCTTCTGCATTTGTCCTGTACTGAGCATTTGGAAGGAGTCTATGACTCAAGGCTGCCTTTGACATTTCCCATGGTTTCTCATGGTTCTATTTACATATGACAGAAAAACACTCAACAATCACAACATCACATGATCCCTTGGAGATTTAAACTTACTTTGATTTGTTGATAGCCCTTTTCAGTTTCTTCTCCAACTGTTTCATTCTGCCCATGGCAGCATTGTATTTGGCTGCTGTTTCTTTATGTACAAGTTCACTTCTAGTTTTCGTCTGCTCTGCTTCCATAACCTTTAAAAAGGGTTATGAAAATGTTTTTGAGTTTAAGCTTTTACATACAAAGCCTAGATTGTTTTTAGTAACAATATTCCTCAAAAGTTTAAGTAATATCTGGCAAAATAGCATAGAAAAAAGAGGGCTCAGTGGAATCTGAATTGTAAATATCTTGCTATAATTTATTAACGTTAGTGACATCCCATTGGCCATTTGACTAAAATTGTTACAAAAATGCAAAAGATGAGAAACTTCCATGTAAATTAAACTCAATCACAGAATCATGGAACTGAATCTGAAAAGTCCATTTAGATTATTATGTCAAGGTCTTTCTAAAAAGGCAATTACTTTTCTTTTTAACATTGGCCATAGAGCCTACTAAAAAATAGCTACTTTCATTTAATCATAAATAATGCCCAAATTCTGATTAATATTAAATCATGATTACAAATCAATCCTCCTAGTTTTCTGGGTAAATGGGAAAAAAGAGAAAAGGATGACCAGCACCCAAATGGGTGGATTCAGTTTTGGTGGCTAGGGGTGAAAGACCTGAAGAAACAAGTTATGTGCCTTTAAGTCAATTTGTTTTATTTGTGCAGTTGCAGGCCAATCAATCATGATCCAGCCTTTTTCTACCTGTTACCAACCTGTGGTTACTTTACCTGCAAACAATCTTGCTGCTTTTCTACTGATATCTACTGTCTCTGAAGTATGTGTTAGAACCTGTGCAATATTCTGTAAGGTATCAATTCCGTCTTGCCTAAAATACTTAAAAAACTGATAGGAAGAGTAGTAATACAGCCTACCCGCTGTGTGGCATGGTTGAGCATTTCTTGCCATGCAGAATCAAATTGACGTTTGTCATCTTCCAGCAGCCTCTCTTCTGCAAGGGAAATGGTTTCCTTAGCAGCCCGTAGCACCTCTGTGGCTCTCTGAAAATCCTGTGTTGCTTTCTGCGCTTCTAGCTGAGCCTGCAATGAAAGATTAAATTGATCTAGTACTAAGAAGGAAAGGGATAAATATTACCCAATGATTTTGTCTGATTTTCATTTGCTGATTTTAAAATGTCAGTACAATAGATGCCAGTAGTAACTATTTCTATTGATTGAAGGATTATATCCTGCTTATATATGTAACATTCCCCATCTCATCATATCATTAAGTAGATTCGTGTAGATCACTGCTTGTTTCAGTATTGTTTCCAAAAATGTACAAGTTATTCTATAGTTTTAACATATCCAAATGACAATTCATGTAGGATGCTATACGTTCGGGGTGAACCAGCTTCCCTTCACATTTTTTTTCAAAGTTATAGTGCTCATATACATAATCAGATCTTGTTGCTAAGACACCACATTGAGTGCAGAAGACTTATTTTAAAACATCACTTTTCTAATAAATTAAAAGTAATATCTTCAACTGTTGAGATCCAGATTATCTCTATTTAAAGCAAGCCCAAAAAAACAAAAAGATTTAAGACATGTATATTTAAAGCCGATTTAGGTAATAACATATAATCTTTAGAGCAGTTAATAATTCCTATTAACTACTCTAATAGCAGAAAATCTGATCCAGTCCTCTATCCTCTAATGCTGAATGTAGAAATATATAATCCAAAAATAAGCAGATCTTGGTACAAATTATCAAATTAATTACCTAGTAATTAAGGAGGCTTTTTGATAATATAGGAGTGGGGAAGCTTTGGCCCTTCAGATGTTGCTAAACTATGATGTCAATAAAATACCTCTTGTCAGAACCTTGCTGAGAAAGTCAGTCACACTGTTGATAAATAAATATCCACCTGTTTTCATCTAATGACCCTTCTTATTTTCCTTTGACTTTGACTTCTTCTTTGTATCTACTGGTAGTACCATCTCTTAATGAAATGTTTCAAACAATAATTGTAACTGACATTTTCTGCCAATCTATATAAATTAATTCAGAGACTTAATCTCCAACAGATCTCACAGACACACAAGATAAATTGGAAAATACCCCATAATATTATTTGGAACAATACCAGAAAGCATTTCAGAATAATTTGCACCAAAAAAGCAGTTCATTTGGTTGATATAGTCATTTTGCTTTTTTAAAAAAATCCAAAGTTGTATAGAAAGTTGTAAAGACAACGTTTCCCACAAACAAAAGTTCATAGGTTATTGATGTCAGACTTATCACAACTGAAAAGAGGCAGAGGCTATTAAAGTTATAAGCAAGAAGCCAAATATTTGCTTAAATGTTAGCAGCCTATACAATCTACAGTCATTATTCCCAAGGCTTTATTTTATTCACACGATTAGCAATAACACATTGATGGAGTTTCCACTCACAAATTACAGAAAAGCTGGTGCTAAATACTCTCACACACACAATGCACACAATATAAAAGAATCTTCTGTAACGTGTACTTCTTACCAGCATTAGCTGATTGATATCTTATGACTGCAATTATTGTCTTATAAAATATATTCCCTTGATAGCCTATATACCTACATAATTTACTCACAATCAAGACTTGACGGAACATGAAAGAAGACTTATAAAAAAATAATTTCCAATGAAAAAGATGGAAACTAGAAATCAGGACAATGAACTACAAAAACAGAACACAGTAAGATGATTCCTAAACAAATAGCCAGAATAAAAACTTCTCTGTGAATCAAAGAAATAAACAGCTAATTGATCTGGCCAGTATAAGAAACAATGCAAAATATTCAGCAGCTCATGTTTTCACAGGAATGGATGAAGAATCGTTACTTCAATTTGATTCATCCCAACTAAATATCTTTTTATAATTTTTTATTTAATTGCTTAAAAAATCATCACCAATGTTTTTTTGTTTCTCAAATACACAATTTTTATATTGAATTCTGCCAAATATGCATTTCTGCAATATGCTTTCCACAATATAATAAATTATTTTTATTAATTTGTTTGAAGTTTTGATTTTAATGAAGAATTGCATTGCAAATTTGTTTGCTATATTTGGCTACATTGAAAGGGGAATTAATTTCATGATTGTGAGAATAGCCTCTGCTTGCAAAATAACATGAGGTTCCCACAAGGCTTCCTCTATAGGAAAGCTGAGTGTCAAGCACAGGAAATCAGTAGTCCAGGCAGTTCAAATGAATATAAGTTTATTGTATGCTACTGCTCTCTAGAAGAATCTGAACTACTAACAGTCAAAACAAATTGATAGATAAGGGTCAACAGAATTCAAGGTGGGCTGGATTTAGATCTCTTGTGGGCATGAGAAAGAACTCAAGATTGATGATGCATCCCACCCTTTGGCCAGCTGATCATCTCCTACACTGAGCTTCGTATCAGCCAGAAACCTCTCTCAGAAGTTGCAAAAAAACAGAAAAGATAAGTTGGGGACTGCTGAGCCCTGGATTTGGCCTTGGGTGCATGAGTGGCTAAGTGGGTAGAACAAAAATGATTAGGGGCCTGGAGGTTAAAACATATAAAAAACGGTTGCTGGAATTGGGTATGTCTAGTTTAATGAAGAGAAGGACTAGGGGTGACATGATAGCAGTGTTCTCAGGGGTTGCCATAAAGAAGAGAGAGTCAAACTATTCTCCAAAGCACCTGAGGGCAGGACAAGAAGCAATGGATGGAAATTAATGAAAGAGAAAGTAACCTAGAACTAAGGAGAAATTTCCTGACAGTTAGAATAATTAATCAGTGGACCAATTTGCCTCCATAAGTTGTGAATGCTCCAACACTGGAAGTTTTTAAGAAGAGATTGGATAACCATTTGTCTGAAATAGTATAGACTTTCCTGCCTGAGCAGTGGATTGGACTAGAAGACCTCCAAAGTCCCTTCCAACTTTATTATTCTGTTCTGTTCCTAGAATCAGTGGGCCCAAAGCTCAAAGCCACTCAGTCTTGCCAGGGTGCATTTGAATCCTGATGTTCTCCATCCAGATCTCTCCAAACACCAAGATAGGACATTCACAACATTGCTTAATTCCACAAAAACAGAAATGTACAGTAGTGTATTATCAACATACTAATGATACCTCAACCCATGGTGAAAGGTAGCTCAACCTTTTAGAAAAAAGATAATGCAATCTAATGTAACTAGAATGAACATATTTTAGTCCAACCATATTTTTATTCCAATTCTGAATAGTCTGGTCATAAATAGAAAAATAATTACACTAGCAAATGAACTTCAATAATAAGCCAATATTTACTTACCTAAACAGATAAACAGAAAGACATCGAGTCAGCAAAAGAGCATTGGGGCAGCAGTGACTACCAATTTCCTGCTGGCTTCCCCATTGACTTTGTTTGTGGAAGCTGACAAGGAGAATTGGAAACCATAATCTCGTGACCAAGGAGATGTTGCCACGGCCACAACTTTGCAAATAAAGCTGGTCTGAGCATAGTAGAAATTTCAATTGCACAGGAGTAATGGGTACTAGATTATTTGTATACATTTTTCAAATTAATGGATTTTCGGTATTTTGATTCAAAAATTGTTGTAATATAATGTACTGTTTGGGCTAACGTGAAGGTACAAACAACAGATAAACACAGTGAGAGTTTTAGTAGTATATAGATTAAGAATTGATACCTTAGTATTCTTCCTCTTTCTTTCTTTCCCTATTAATTTTCCTATTATGTAAGGAACGGTTTTTATTTGTTTGTTTGCTTCTATAAACCAAGTTGGGAAAATTTCCCATTCAAAAGGAAGTTAAATATAGTTTTGGTATGCTTGGTTAATTAACAGACTTTCTAGGAGCATGTTGGTATGGTATGGTACAGTACAGTGTGGTGTGATGTGATGTAATGTAATATAAATTTTCTTCCTGCTTCTATAACAGTGATGGCGAACTTTTTAGAGACCAAGTGCCCAAACTGCAACCCAAAACCCAATTATTTATCGCAAAGTGCCAACACGGCAATTTAACCTGAATACTGAGGTTTTAGTTTAGAAAAAACAATTCATACATTAACATCTTTTGTCTTAAAAGAAAAACACAATAACAAAGCTTTCAATAATAATACAATAATACAATACAATAATACAAACTTTTTATTGAAAGGTAAAAGTTTGCATTTGGCATGCTTTTGAACAATTGATGTGATTTTTGCTGTTGTATGTATGCTGATAATTTGTCTAACCTTGGCTCATACTTTGTAAATTTGAGAGCAACACATGCAGCACTCAGGTCATCTGTTAATCTGTTTCTTGTGTCAGATTTGATATAATTCAAAGCTGAAAACAGCGTGCTTGCTCCGGAGGCTTGTTTTGGCTAGGAAGGGGTTTGAGAAATGGCTTTTTCCTGTGAAAACTTAGCGAGGCACGCGTGTCCACAGAGAGGGCTCCGAGTGTCCCCTCTGGCACGCGTGCCATAGGTTACCCCACCACTGTCCTATAAGAACTGGGAAAACTTATAGTTATGGTTACATATTTAGATATAAAGATAACATACTGTAAAGTAAGTCACCATTATTTGTTCCCTTAGAAATAGTAACTTCTTTAAAATCAGTGAGTTCACTACAGAAGAAATATTAGAGACATTCTAGTTTTTAGCTTAAAATCTGAGCTTTTAAGCTACCGTAGCACATAATGAATTTCAGGAGCATCTTCTAATTTTTATTCAACAATATGCATATATTTCCTGGATCCAAAACTGTATATTTCAAGAGGCAAAGAAAATACTCAAAAATCAACTCCGTGGATTCTGAACAATTAAAGAAGCATCACTGCACCAGAAAAGTTAATCCACTGTTATACGGAAATGAGCTAGCTCATAACCCAACAAAAGTACAGCTCTACAATTTTCACTAACATGAAATAAAATAAAATTGTAGCAAATTAGCTCCCAATAAACCACCATGCATTCTTTTGAAGAGGGCAACAAGATCAGAATAGCTGCAGATTTAGCAAGGGAATAGACAATATGGATTAGGCTTTTTAGCTTTGGAGAGATCAAGTAGAGAAAAGGTCACAACTTCTCCCTTCTGCAGAGTCTGCAGAAACATTATTCTAAAATAAGTAATAAATTCAGAGCACAGTAATCAATAATTGACAAGTATATTAGCCAATATTCTCAATTCATTTTAGAAGCAGATCCAGGGAGTAGCTTTAGAAAATCTTCAAAAATAAGTCAATAATATGCTCCCTTAGAAGGTTCACATTCAGTTTGTGCCAATTCAGTTTTTTGTCAGCTCACTTGGAAGCAGTTGTGGGATTCAGCCAGTTCGCACCAGTTCGGCAGAACTGGTAGCTAATTTTTTGTTGCCCAGGCCCAGAATGGACTTCCGGAAGCGGCATCCATACAAAGAACCAGTTGTTCACATATTTGAATCCCACCACTGGTTGGAAGGCTGCAATATTTTCAGACTGACTATCACAAGTTAAGTGAATCCACCCACAATTCCATTATACAGTATGAAAAAGACTCATTTAGGTGATATCATGATTATTTTTTTCCTTTTGCTTACAGAAAGAAAAATCTAGAAAGTACAACTTTCTATAAGTCATAATTGAGGAAAAAGAGAATAATTGATTCTATTGTGATGCATTTACAATAACTGCAATGAAGAAGTATGAATGAATTACTAGAAATTTTGCAGTGATCGTTAATAGTAGGGACTGAGAATAAACAAGCCTTTTAATAGATAAGATCTGCATGGGTGGTATTCATCACGCTTGGAAGGAGAAAAAGGTCACTGTCTCATAGGAAGCATACAGTTGAAATACCCATCATAGCATCATAACATGGAGATCATGTGCTATAAACAATGCCATTGTGTTTTTATTGTGCCTCTAAAGTTGTATTCCAATCAACTAATAGCATAGTTTTTTTCAATTGTATTCTTACCTGCCTAGCAACCCTTCGGGCTTCCCAGTAAGGCTTTGAATCTTCTACAGATTTTCCAATCTTCTTCACAAGTTCATCCAGTTTTATTGTAGCTTCTACCAGAACTGAACGGAATTTTTGACGTGCATCCTACAAAGAAAAACACAGCAAATCTGCTAATACCTATTTCTCATAGATCACTAGCAACTAAGTCATTTTAGGTAAAACTAGGGTTAGTTACCTAGCAGAATAATATTTGTGTAACTCAATTTCAAACCTAATAAAACCAATGAAAACCTGAGACAGGGCTAAACTTAATGTATTATACTTCTGAATTTTATCAATTTTTTTAACACTTGGTGATACAACCTGATCTGAGAAGAGATAGAGTTTTTAAAAGATGTGAGTCTTTGTTCACATAATCTAGTAATTTTCATTGAGCTTTAATCTAAATAAAAAGCAATATTGCACAACATCTGCTCTGTCCGGGGTTTCAACTCTTAATGCAGCATTGAGACCAGCATAAGTATACAACTTTTTATATTTTCAGGGAGAAAATCCTTTGGCTCTTTGGAAACATTAATCCCTTTCCTCATTCCTTAACAGGTTACTTTTTCCAAATTACTAACTACTAAATGGCCTTTAAAGGAAAGGAAAAAAAATATTTAATTTCATACTAATATTCAATATCTTTAATTTCATACTAATATTCAATCAATTAATAGCTTCATTGAACAAAATTAGTGTATTCTCAATCTCTTTTCTTCAAACAACCCTCCTCCTTGTTTTGTGTATTATTTCTTTTTCTTCAACTACCTAAAGTAGGACACAAGTGATTAAATTATTCTTCAATTAGCCAACATGACATTAATAATAATAATAATAATAATAATAGTAGTAGTAGTAGTAGTAGTAGTAGTAGTAGTAGTAGTAGTAGTAGTAGTAGTAGTAAAGTTGGAAGGGACCTTGGAGGTCATTGCCTTGTTTTGCTACACGATATAGTGCTGTTCCTAGATCTAAAACCTGGAGATAGAAAACTCAAGATGGATATTATCCACACCTCAAACAGGCTAGATTCTAGAAGATTTCTGAGCAGACTAACTTATTTACTAACATTTGGAAAAGCATCCAGAGAGTCAATCTTTACTTTCAATGCATATATTATTGGCAATACTAAGATAAAGAGCATGCATCCTCCTAAAGGGAAGGAGAGAATAAGTAGCAGATTAGCAAAGAGCACCATCCTTAAAAAGATAATACAGGTAGTCCTCAACTTACAACTACAATTGGGACCAAAATTTTCATTGCTAAGCAAGGTAGTGCTTCATCACTGGAGGCTTTCAAGGAGAGATTGGACAGCCACTTGTCAGAGATAGTATAGATCTCCTGCTTGAGCAGTGGGTTGGACTAGATGACCTACAAGTTCCTCCCAACTCTGATATTCTGTAAGATTCTGTAAGTCTGTAAGTAGTTTTAAATGAGATATGCCCAGTTTTATGCCCTTTTTTTTTGTCCAACTTTCTTTCCTTGATTCTGCTTGTCAGAAGCTGACTGGGAAAGTTGCAAATGGCAATCACATGACCCCAGGATGCTGCAACTCTCATAAATACAAGCCAGTTGCCAAGCACCCAAATTTTATTCACGTGTCTATAGGGATGGTCCAGGAACTGGTTGCATGTCACTTTTTTCAGTGTCATTGTCACTAAATTAATAATTATAAATTGAGGAATACCTGCATAAGCTTCATTGTACCCAAAGCTGATCAAATGATTTTGACATCTGAGGCAAATCTGTCCTTAGAAAGAGAAACAAAACAGGAAATTGAAAAATTGCTATGCTTTCAATTCCCTGAAACAATCATCCCATTCAAGGAGGACTGAAAGAAATGTAATGTCACCAATGTTATAAATTGCCAACAGATAGCAGTACTGATACAGTAGAAGCTCTGTCATGTTCTTTAGCATCTATTCTTTCCCTTCAGTTAGCAGAAAGCTGTACTATTATATATTGTTGTACTTTGTGAAATGACCAAGAAAAAAATGTTTAATTGTGCACCATGATTGCATTCTTGATTGCTGAAAGAGTTCTTTCACTCAGAATTCACTGCCAACTATAGGTGGTTTACACTGATTATTATGTTGACAAAAGTTCTGTACCAAAATATATAAAGATGGTGAAGCAGGAAGAGTTTATCAATGTGATCAAGAACAAAGTGGATAAGCTGTGATAGCAACCAAAAGGTTTCAAATGAGAAAGACTGAAGAACTAATTAAAGACTATCAATAGATTGTTAAAAGGGTGCTGCCAAGCTCAGCATTTTTCATAGGAATGTGTAAATATACTATTGATCTTCTTCAGTATCAGAAACTTTATGCAAGATGGATCCTCACATGCAAAGATAAGTTTAGAAGTTGAACTTTGCAAGCAATTGTTGTCATGCTAAAAGAATGAAAATAAATAATTTTTTCCCAGCACTGTGACTACTGATGAAATATGGGTGCATCATTATGACTCAGAAACAACATGTCAGTCCATGTAATATCATCACAAACTTCACCAGTGAAGCAAAAAATTCAAAACCCTTTGTCAGGAAAACCTATAGTAATAGGGGTTGGGGGTTGTAGCTTTTTTTGGATGCAGATCATGTTATTTGATTTCTTTGAACCTAGCACCATACTTAATTCAGAATGCTGCATGTTAACACTTAAAACTTTGAAACAATTAAGTAGAGTTCAGAAGCAACATGCAATGTGACAACATTAGGCCTCACATCTCCTGAGCCACCTAAGAGATAATTGCAAAAATAGATTTCACCATAAAGGCCGTACTTGGCACCATGTGATGTCCACCTTATCCCAACGTTGAAGGAATACCTTCATGAAAGTTTGTTTGACCTAAATGAAAAGTTAGAAAGGACTGTCAGGACCTAGTTGAAGAAACAAAGTATGGGTTTCTTTCACATCAGCTTTAAGAAGTTTGCCCAATGTTGCAAAGGCAGATAATGAACAGTATTATTATGTAAAGAAGTACAAGTAATCCATTGGTTATGATCACTTGTTCAGTGACCATTCAAAGTTATGACAGTGGTGAACAAAGAGAACTAGTGATTGGTCTCAAGGTTGCAGCCATTATAGTATCCCCACAGTCAAATAATCATGTTTCAGGCAACCAGTTTTCAATTATGGCAGTTGCAATGTTCTATGCCAGTGGTGGCGAACCTATGGCACGGGTGCCAGAGGCGGCACTCAGAGCCCTCTCTGTGGGCACACGCACCGTCTCCCCAGTCCTAGGCCTTCAGCTGGGCTTTATAAAATCTTTTCGCTTTAGGCCTCCGCCGCCATGAGCAAAAAAAAAAAAAGGTTCAATCAATCAATCAATTTCAACTTCTCGTGGGGGAAAAAAAGATCTCGCAAAGTTGGAATTGATTGATTGAACTTTTTAGTCCCACCCAGTCTGCTGTTACCAAGGCAGCCATGCCCACCCAATGGGCCATACCCACCCAATGGGCAACACCCAGCCAATGGGCAACACCCACCCAGCACCCAACGATGCATAAGTGGGTTTTGGGTTGCAGTTTGGGCACTCAGTCTCTAAAAGGTTTGCCATCACTGTCCTATGCTGTAGTCATATGATTAGCATTTGCAACTTTCCCTGCGGGCATCCCACAAGCAAAGTCAATGGGGAAGGCAGCAGAAGATTCAAGTTGCTCTCACTGGTTTTTCTCCCAATGTGGTTCTCATACTCCATTGCATCCATCTGCCCACATTCCATAGCACCAATTCATGATACCCATCTTGCTCACTGTATTTAGTAGCACCTGCCCACCAATAGCTCTTGGCTGAAGTCCTTACACACCAGCCTACTTACATTTTTCAGTGCCATGTCATGGTCACTTGAGGTCCTCAACCACATGGTTCTCACTTATTAATGGTAATGAGAACTGCCAGGAATGGCATTGCTAAGTGATGTGGTCACATGATGGCATGTTATAACCACATTGCTTAGTGACAAAAATTCCAGCCCCAATTGCTATGGTAATCCAAGGATTATCTGTAAATGCAGATAACAAAAGAACTGATTTCAAGATTGCTTTCCTGCTTCATTTATTAAAATATCCCCTATTTAAATTAAAATTATGGAAGTATAGGCATTACTGTTCATTCAACCCTCTTACCTAATTGTACAGCAGACTCTGAACTTCAGAGTTCATTTTTGTGTTTCTGCAAGCTTGAATATTTCTTCAAAAATAAATTCTTGCAATAGTTGTCCTTCCAAAATCACTTAAAGATGGCTGGTTGTTTCTAAGTCTGAACCAATAGTTTATTTTTTTTTATTCTGCCTTTATTATTTTTACAAATAACTCAAGGTGATGCACATATCTAGCATACCTTCCTCCTCCTATTGTCCCCATTACAACAATCATGAGCTGGGTTGAGAGTGAGTAAGTAGCCCTAGGTTACCCAGCTGGCTTTTTTGGCTAAGGCAGGACTTGAACTCACAATTTCCAGCTTTCTAGCTTGGTGCCTTAATCACTAGACCAAATTGATCTTTGTTGATTGTTTCTGAGATGTTTTTGATGAGGATAACAATGCCATACCTCATGTGATGTCTCATTTAATGACCATGGTGATTTGCTTAACAATCACTTGTTGTGAGGCTACTGGAACTGCTGTCACTAAGCAGGAGAGTCATGATTTTTACTCAACTTCATTTAGCAACAGAATTACCAATCCCAATTAGGCTTAAGTGATGACTACTTGAACTACTAGTATTATTATCATGTAAAGAATATTATGATAACATTAGAGATGTGTTGGTTGGGGATGTAAAATATATGTGTTGTTTTATTTGCAGACATTACTATATTGTTGGTTCAGAATCCAAATGATTTACAAAACACATCAGACTGCCTGATGCAGGGGTGTCAAACTGGCGGCCTGCGGGTCGGATACATCAGGTGCAGGCCACACCCACCCCCGCTCCGCAAAGACAAACAACGTCGTGAAACATTACAATACGTCATGTGACAAGAGTGAGTTTGACACCTGTGGCCTAATGCAATATGGAGTACAGTTATGAAAATTCATTCTTTCAAGACTAAGGCACTTATATTTGACAGGAAAGTAAATAAGTTCAAGTTATTCATAAAT